ATGGTTTGCGATTTAGATAAGTGATAGATACTGATAGATATTAGATAGTTACTTAGATATTATTTATCCCGAGAGAAATTCAAGATCGTGATAACAAAGCATCATTAGATAAAGTGGATGGGGGATGGACATGGTGGGGTGGTGAGTGGCCGGTCGCTGGTTTCAGTGGGAGTGGATATTTATATTTAAAAAAACAGGTTTCGGTGGTTTGCTCTCCCGCATCCCCCCCTCCCTGTGATGTGCATTCTTCTTGCCGCCTTGTTGCAGCCTGTGATGGTTTTCATGCCATCCCAGACCTCCCTCATGTTGTTGTTGTGCACTTTTCCAAAACAATAAAAAGCCCCCATCAGTATAGATGATTGCTAACAATAAAACAGGTAAAACATTACCCACATTAACCACACTAGGGCAACCCACATTAACCACACTAGGGCAACAATTAAAAGAAATATATATATATATATATATATTAGAAGAGACATGATGGGAATTAAACGGTGTGCTAGAATAAATGTGTGTGTAGCTTAACCTCCAAAGCACTAGATGGGGTCAGTGAGCTAATGTCAGCTGTAATTGCTGTTGACCTACACTCCTCTTTGTTCCTGAAGTGTACACGCCATGGTAACTCTAACCACTAATATTAGACACTGAGGGAATAAATTACAGACCAATTGGTGTCTGCAAACATGATGACATTATATAAGAAACAGGTTAAATGTACACTTGGGTGTTTTCTCATTATATTTTAATTCAGCACTGATTTGTTATTGGATTAATGACTTCTGGGAGTTGGTTAACCAGTGGATTTTTTTTTTTTGTACTTCTCTGAGTGATAAATCTTTACAGCCCAGGCAATGTCAGAGTTGATCAAATCAGGGGTGAACTCTACAGTACTGTGCAGGCTGAAGTTAATGAGTCACCATGACACATTTGAAAAGGAATTTTCTCTCTGGTTTAAAAACTGACACCTCTGAAATAAACAGGAGAATCGGTTTTGGCAGCTTTTATTTTTATTTTTTAATTAAAAAAAAGCTGTCAACAGTCAGCGTACGTCTACATTTTTAATGATAATTTTTTTAATTATTATTTTACATTTGCATAGCTAGCGGACTGATGCACAATCTGTAGATTATTATATAATGTTGGTTAACACATTAGATCTTTATACATTAAAATAAACAAAACAAAACAAAAATGACAACTTCCTGGAGTCGCTGCCGGTTGCCTGGCAACCTTACGTCACAGCAGGACTCCAGGAAGTGACTGCGCCTGGCCAAGAAATAGTCCTGCAGCGCTTAAACCTCCATGACCCCTGCAATGTTTATGTACTGGTTAAACAAAACCAAAAAAAAAAGAAGAGATACAACGTGTTAATCAGTAAGCCTTAGAGCTGCTTCTAGAGGTATTTTGTTTAGCTGTTTCCAGTCTTTGCGCTGGCTGTAGCCTCCTCCATAACTATTTTGCTTTCTTACTTAGATTTAACAGATATGTTTATTAGAGTAATCCTCTCTCTCTCTTTCTCTCTCTCTCGGGAAGCGATTACTTTCCCAATTATGTCAAACATTTCCCTCCAGGATACATACACGAATCACTAACAGGAGTAACGCAGCGAGCGCACAAACGAGGCTAAGCTTCGTCTTTCCGATGTTTCCTCTGGCACCTGAAGGCGGCACCAGGCCCACAGCTGCGGCCGCCCTCGGAGCTTTCCGGGTCCGTCACACGGCTTCTGCGCCACCGGTTTCACACTACTGGAACAGGTGTCCGGGCCAAATGACCGGCAGTCCGGGTGGTAGTGTTTGTTTTATTTACCAGCTTTAACACCATGAGACACATACGGAGTTCTGGGCTCTGCTGCAGTGCACACAACAACAATAACAACAGCAGCAGCAGCAGCAGCAGCAGAGAGACGCGTTATTTCTCCTCCTGATTTGCGCTTTCCTGCGACCCGGGCGGTCTGCTGGTTCCTCTGCGAGGGCGTCAACGTTTTATTGAGTTTTTAGCCCATTTGCTGTTTTTTTTTTTTTTTTTGATCCCACACTCGGAAACAACCGCAGCAGCAGCAGCAGCAGCGACGTCCCAAGGAGGAGCATCCCCCTTGGTGTTTATTACAGGAGAGGAGGACGCAGCACAAACCAGAGAGAGACACAGACGAGAGCAAACATGTTCGAGACTAGAGGAATCCCCTTTGTCCTGCTCGACTTAGCCTGTCTTATTCTAGGTATGTAATATTTAGTTTTTTTACCGACTTGCTGTGGACTGTTTTTTATTGCTGCTCTTATTGATGTTAAGCCGATTTGTGACCCAATATAATCCTTCTGTTCGGATATTTAACAGCTTGCCATCACGTGAAGGGAGTGGTGAATGTTCAGTAGCCCACGAGTGTGAGACTTTATACTGTTAACACTGTTTTATTTTAACCTCTAATGGCACCACTAATCAGACTATATGTTTCTGTCATACGTGTTTAGTATCTTTAAAGGGTTCCTAGGGGTCTTTTTCGCTCCCAGTACATAAAGAATTTCATGTTCTTTGTTTCCAGTGTATGCAAATTAGTCCCAACGTCTCCTCAGTTGTTTCAGATACTCACTCTAAAGGTTAATAATGTGTTTTTTTCTTGAGTGCAACAATCTGTAATAATGTAGCAGCTTGCACTATAACACAAATCATTCCTCATCAGTGTTATATTAATTATATTTAAGGGCTTCCCATATTATATAATGCTTCCATACTTCTTCTTCTCTCAGATAGTCAACTGCTAAGGCTGCATAAATTCCTGATTTATACTAATTTAAACCAAATATTAATTCAAAATTGTTATAAATGGCATTACTATGTACAGCACAGGCTATGTTTTAAACAGTTTCCTGGCTCATGTAACCACAAGTCTTCCTCCTCAGAGGGTTTTAAATCATTACAGGGGGAGGCACTTATACTTATATCAGATCTGAAACTGTATTCAGATTAAAACATCTGAACTACAGTGTATAAATTAACCTATAAGTCCTTATCTTACATCTAAAACCACTTTTGTCAAATATTAAATCATAATCTAAAAGTTTAGTCTTTATATTTGAATGTATGAATCATTGCGTTGGTGCTCGAGGGGCTTCAGCTGGTTTCAGTCTTGCAGTGTAGGGACAGACTTTTTAAAATCTGGTTATGAATAATTGATACGTTCCATTACTCATAAAGACATACCTCCCCTCGCACAGTCTGCGGTATATCCTAACATTACATATTCGCTTTTAGGATTAAACCCTTTTGGGGGTTTTATAACATAAAAATATTCTGTTGGGATAATGATTTGTGTCTGATATGGGTTTTCCACAAAAGGTTCAATAACCTGTTTCTAAATTCTTAAACGTTGAAAAATCCAGTCAAATATTGTTGGTTTCTTGAGTAAAAGGGGAAATTTGAACTAAACTTCCAGGGCATATTTTATGTTGCATCATTTTGTGAGTGCAGTATGACTGTACAGACTCAGTGTGCTCTGTGGATGACTGATGCAGAAGCAAACTTGATTATTCTGCTAATGACTGAAGACCATTAGATTATAACCAGGCATCTGCAATAGTCTGTCTCCAGTGCAGACCAAGGCTTTTTAAAACAGTCATGCACCACTGCATGTTACTAAAACATGCACACACAGGTAGTGAGGTTTGACTCATTAGAACAAAACTCAATCAACGTGAGAACAGAGAGGATTTTGCTTCTTTTTTCTAAAGGTCATAATGTGCAGAGAGAGAGAGGATATTTGTGCTTCAACACAATTACTTAGCAGGCTGCAGTGAAGTCTTGGTAAAATATTTACTAAAAATGGACCAATGTGTATTTTTTGTTTTTAAATATCCACAATTTTCTTATTGTGTCTGTGTTTGTCCCTTTAGTTGCAGAGTATAAGAGATGAGAGCACGTTAAAGTGTAACACTGCTGTTTGCTGCAGTTAGAAAGTGACTGGGGGGTGTGGGTGTGTGTGTCGTGTGTGTCGCGTGTGTGTAGTGCCGGTGTGTGTGTGCGTGTGTTGTGTGGCCGTGTGCGTGCGTGTGTGCGTGTTACTGTCCCCCGACTATCTGGCATTTCCAGCTGTTGTAGCCAGTCAACTTAGGATGGCACAGCTGACAGTGTCAACAGCTGCAGAAATGGCAGACAGAACAGAAATCCCAGACAGAATTTAAAAAGTAGTTCATATGTTTGTGAAGGTGTATCTTCATGTGATGTGTCGCGACTTGTTAACGTGCATTACAGCTCAATAATAGACCCTCATTTTCTGCTTGAATGGACGAACAACTCCTGTCTTTTCTCAGCTATACAATGGGCTAAACGGGCCAAACAGCCACAGAAATGACAGCAGCTTTGCATTCAGACTTTGAACTGTCAAGACCAATTAGCATAAGATGTTATCTTTATGGTATTTGATCTATAGAGAGTACTTAGCTATGTCCACAGCTCCTTTCACACCAATGTGAGTCAGTGCTCCAATAAAGCTTCTCAATCCCCCCCTGCTGAAAGGCTGCCCAAGAATAACATCATTTTTTGGAGTCATGAAGTCACTGTTGTCTTGTGTCTTTTGCTGTGTGTAATGCATCATGTTGCAGAGTATCTGTCTGAGCTCAAAAAGATAAAGATATGACTCAATATTTTGTGTTTTTCTTACAGTGAACAAATCCCATGAAAAGACCAAAACTAACAATGAATTGATCCTAATAACAAATATTGTCTGTGTAGCCTGATTTCTATGTGCATTGTTGTCAGAAAAATATTCAAGACACATCAACGAGCCACACTCGTTGTACTGGAGGATATGTTCAGCCATCTACTATAAACACGAATGAGTCAATCCCACATGCATGTCATGCTCGCAACAGCGCCAAATTCACGGCTGGAAATGGTGCCAAACAAGGACAGTGTTTATATACACAGCACTTAAAAGAAATCATTCTGGAAACATGGAACTACATATTTATGATCTGTTTTTTTTTTTTTAAAGATTTACATCTACAGATGAGTTTTATAATTTACTGAGAGACAGAATTATTCATTGTTGGTTTTGGTCTTTTTTTCGTTTCCTGCTAGAAAGGTCGGGGTCTCATCTCTGTCACAAAGATTTAACATGTTTTTTTGGCTCACATTTATGAACTTCTGGAGCCCGACCGGCCTATTGCAGACATATTGGTATCTGTATTGGCGTCTGATTTACACTGGTGTATATAATGAAAAAAGGCCTGTAGTTATTACAGTACTGATGATTAGCTATTTATTTATTTTAATCTTTATTTCTATATATTACTGGATAATGTAGCCTATGTTTTTATCATTATTTAACATGTTAAAGAATATTTAACTTATATTCTTTAAAGAGTAACTAAACCCTAAAACCTCTGTATATGGGTATTTACTAGTGTTGTTGATTAATTCAGGTCCATATCTGGACATTGCAGTGCAAAGTATTTGAATTCTACATATTTTGCTATGAAAATGCACAGCGACCACAGTCTACTGGCTGAAACCCGGCTATCACAATTGAATTTTGCTACTGGCTGATCTGGAGACAGGTGACGTTTGTGGTGGCAGCCCCTGTTTATATAAGACCAACGTCTCCACTCTGCAGACTGTGGCCTGCTACGTAATCGTAGCCTGACGCTCTACCACAAAGTTATTTAAGAAAGCACCTTTTGTGGTCATATCAGTAAACAATTGGTCTCGTTGCATTCCAGCTCAAAAAGGAACTATTGGCTGCCATGAACGGTGAATTTTTCCCCTCTAAATTATCTGTCTTCAAAAACCCACATTGGTCGGGCTCTGGACTTCTACAGTTCTTTATTCACTTCTATCTGAAGGATGACAGTTTTGAAGACCTCAACACTTTGTTTTGGCACCTTCAGTTCCTCTGCCATGCTTCTTTTTCTTTTTTTTTCTCCCACTCTGACCTCTTCCTCCTGATCTCTCCGTCCACAGGAGGTCTGCCTCTGGCAGCCTTTAACCTGGGTAAGATCCGCCCCTATCAGAGGGGCTTTTTCTGTAACGACGAGAGCATCAAGTACCCTTTCCACCACAGCACAGTCACCTCCACGGTGCTCTACACTGTGGGCTTCACCCTGCCCATTAGCTGCGTAAGTAGGAGTCACTCGAGGCAGGTTTGACAACGTACATGACCTTTTCATGGCAAATATGTTGACTTGTCACTCGCAGGGGTGAATTATAACTCGCATTCCAATGTATGCCAGGCCCTTGGCTCTGGTAAGAAACCTGCTGGGTTACTGGCACACCTACATGGAAAGCAGCCATTATTTCTGCGATTAGCTACTGTTGTGCTTTTCCTGCGATGGCAAGTCAAAATGTCTGCTGTGAGAACTGGCAAGACCAACATATTTCCAGAGCCTAGTTTAGGATATATTCAGAATGGCTAGCTTCCTGTTTGATAACACTGATAATACTTTTAAATTGTTCAGTAGCTGTTACACACCGTTATTGAAACCACATATGAAGTGCATTTTATTTAGTTCAGCTTCTGTTTCCCATCTGTGTTCAACATCAGCTCTTATATCAAAAGCTAAAGGTGAAGGAGGATGTCCACTTAAAAAAAACTGATAGAAAATAAAATCATCCAGAATAAATCTTAAATTGTGCTGCAGCTACTACAGTAGGACTTTTAGCTTCTGCTAACAAATCTGACCATTTATGAAGATTGTAATCGTATAGCTCAATGTTTTGTCTCCTAACATCTTTATTATCTTAAATGAACAGTCCAATCTCACAACTCAAACCTGTACAAAAGACACCAAACACAAATTAATTCCGTAAGTTAGCAGTGTACCACTTCTACTTCCAAAAATATAATAAAATATAGACAATATAAAGTTAGGCCAGGCTTTGTTTGCTCAATTTAATCACTGTGTTTTTAATGTTAATTTATTGGGTGAACTTTCTATTGCTGTTGTTAATTAGAGCAACAGACATGCAGGCTGTGTCCCTCTGTTCCTTAAAATAGCTGGAATGCTCTTCTGGAACAGAGCGATTGTTTTTGGAGATCGATAGAGCCAAGAAAGGGCAGCTGCTGGTGTGTGTGTCTCGCTTTTGTGTGTCTGCCTTTGGTTATTGCTTCGTGGTATCAGTGATTCATCTCTTTCATCTCTTCCATCTCTGTCTGTAGTCTTTCATGTATCACGAGTAATCACAACCACAATCTGTAATATTTTAGATATTATTGTAGCCTAATTTCTGCTCACAACTGCTCACTTCATCGTTCACTGCCTGCCTGCCAGAGGAAGGTGTGAATTTGGAGCTGGAGAGTCAGTTTTAGGAAGAGGTTAAGCAAGAAGAAGAAAATGTGAAAGTCACTATCTTACAGGAAATGAGTGAGAAACTGTTTGCCCAAGTGTATTTCGGTTATCTAAGGGTGACCGCCGTTTCTTCTCGCAGCTCTCTGCGGGTTTGTTGAAGAGAATTCAAACTATAAAGAATCACTGATAAATCCTGCAGCACCTTCAGTTTCAAGACAAAGTAATGAGGACTCAATAACCTGCTCAGAAATGTCATTTTTGTGCTCTTGAAGTTTGAATTTTCTCTATTAACATCCACTCCTTTTTATCAGCATTTAACTGTCTCGTTGCCATGCCAACACTTTAACCATTAATATTTGCACCTTTTTTTTAATGTTCCTGGAAGTTTGGCGAAGGACGCTGCCTTCAGAGGAAGCAATGTTTGGTGTGACTCTGTCTCACGGCTGCTGTCTCCTGCTTTGCACGAGCATGCGGTGTTGCATCGTGGGTAGGGGTCTGAGACCCATTGACATGATCTTGTAACCTGTATTGTTTTTTTTTCCCTTGTTTTTTCTCTCATTGCTTCTCTGCTAGCTGGACTCCCATTTGTAATACTCAATGTTCAACACAGTCCTTTCCGCCGAGGCTTTTTCTGTAACGATGATTCAATCAAGTACCCCTATAAAGAAGACACCATTACCTATCAGTTGTTAGGAGGTGTCATGATTCCCATCACAATACTGACTGTAAGTGCATCTGTTTTGTGTTCCGCTAACGGTTCTCTTTATATTTCATCTTCCTTCTTATTTACATAATGCTTATCTTAATACACTTTTACACTCTTTACTTTCTCTTTTGTCTCAGTTCATGGTTGCTGCTAAATACATTATTCTGTAATAATGTATGTGTTTTTTATTGCTTGCCATTAACTGTAAGTTAATTTGCTAACTGTATGTTGTAGAAAATGTTTTGCAAACTTTTTCAATACTAACATTTGAAGATGAAAGAAAAGTGAATGAAGAAACATCCCCCGGCCTTAAATTAGTCTGCAGGAAGACTCTAAATATGGCAGATGTGAAACTCTTCACAAGCAGCGCAGTGGTATTCTTGGACAGTAGATGCTGAATGGAATTGAAAAAATGTGATGGCACGTAAAGAGCCTACGAGAGAGACTCAGTCAGCCCAGTGTATAAACAGTGAGAATATCCTTTTACTAAAAGTCTCCTTACTGCAGGTTTTATCTTCAAAAGGGATTTAAACAAGATGACTTCCATTTTATACTTATAAAACATCTTTAGCTGCAGTAAGTTCAGGTAAAACAGACACCTTTTTAATCTTTTAGGGACTCTTGTTCTCTTATTAAAAGCTTCTGAGGATAGCAGAGTAACAATAACGGCCCATCAACAGCTTTTATGCGAGGAGAGTGTAAGCCCTCTGGGCCTTTTTATCTGTTAGACACATTCACGTGAACCTGAACCACAACATTCGCAAGAGTCACATGAGTCATTCCTCTGGTGCGTCACAGAGCGCGGACACACGAATAAATACACCCAACTGATTTACTATCAGATCTAAAGAAACATTTAGTTTTAAACTAAATTAAACATGTTTTTATAAGTGGACATCGTCCTGTGGCCTTCAACATTATGTACAGATGAGCCTTCCTTGTTTTAAACACTGTTACTCAAACAAAAGCTCTGTGTGAAATTGATGTAATAGTTCGAATTTTTAAAAACCAAACTGATTATTTTAGACCCAATATTTTAGGGAACATTTTTGGCTCTGGTGTTGTAAATGTATCATTCAGTTGCTTTTTTAATTTTCATTTGCAGTCTTGTATTTCTGTACAAACCTCTAACTCTGTATCCTTTCCCCCATCCCCTCCTCCTTACAGATGGTCTTTGGCGAGTGCCTTTCAGTTTATCTAAAGCGCATCAAATCCAAGTCCTCTTTTGGCAGCTACATTTCCTGTGTTTACAAAGCCGTCGGCACCTTCATTTTTGGTGCCGCAATGAGCCAGTCTCTGACTGACATAGCCAAGTATTCTATTGGTCGGCTCAGGCCGCACTTCCTGGATGTGTGCAGACCTGATTGGAAACTTATCAACTGCTCGGCAGGGGCTTATATTGAAGAATTCACCTGCACTGGAGACGCAACAAAGGTCAATGAGGGCAGGTAGGTGTTGCCATACCTCAGAATAAATTTTTTTAGTTGCAGCGCTTAATGGATTAGTCGAATTGAAAGAAAATTAATAAGCAACTATGTTTATAACCCATTGATTGCCATTATTAAGCAAAAATGTCAAATATTTGATGGTTCCAGCTTCTTAAATTTGAGGATTTGATACTTTTGTTTGACGAATAATAAGAATGAGAATAGTTTTTTTATAAAACAAGTTTCAAGCTTAAACACAAAGTGCTTTACAGATTAAAAGATATACACAACAGAAACCTTTAAATCAGAAACCATTGAGAGTCCCCCCCCCCCTATTACATACTAAACAAACAAAATATATGATAGTAAACTGAGGCATTTTTTTCATTATTTTCTGTCATTTTATTGACAAAATCAGTAATTGATAAAATACAGAAAATAATCATCAGGTTAATATAATCATAAATTGCACTCCTAGTTCGTGATTTCAGATCTTTGGTATTGAAATTAGCTTCTCATTTAAACTTGTAGCACTCTAGGTTTTGGTTTTGTTGCACAACAGATTAATGAAATCTGACCAAAAAATAAAATAAACCTCTGTGCTCTCCCTTGTTTTGTAACATACTTATGGTGTAAGTGCAAAGAGCAAAGGTTAAATGTGTCACTAAACCAACGTATTAACCATTATGTAATTTTATAATGGTGATAAAACTATTATGGCATGTCCCTGTGAAGTTGTTCAGCATTTATATTCTGCTCCCATCTGCAGAGTTTTTAGCGAGATGCGGGTAGGGCCACTTTCACCACACACGAGACCGGAGATACTAGTTGGTTGGTTGAGTAATATCAGGAATGTTGAGATTGTTTTGATTTTAGTTCTGTATCCCTTATCAGCTCAGAGCAGAAGGAAGTTTAGTGGGAGGAGGAGAGGATATCCACTTCTCATTCTGATGTAGGCACGACCGGCGAGACCGGCAGTAATTATAGAAGCAGAGGCCTAAATAGTGACATCAGCCATGCCGATTGTATCAGTGAGTTAAGAAGCGGTTGTTATGAGGGACTCTGTTCTCTATTCTCTTCAGTTGTACTTAAAGATAAAGCAGGTTATTCTGCGTATAGGTAAGAGTGTGTTGTTGAGCTGCAGCCTTTGGGTCTAAGTGGAAATGAGCCCACTCATCTGTCTGTTCTCTGGGTTATCTACGCTACATTTACCAGGGTGTGGTGCACAATTGTTATATATTTCCTGGAACCCCATTACTACTCTGCTACTCAGTAGTTTTTTTGTTTTTTTTATGTAGCATAATGAGACAAACATTTATCAGCAGGTCATGTCCAGAGCTTTTAAGATTACATTTCCAGCTCCTATATGTGTGTGTGTGTGTGTGTGTGTGTGTTGGGGATGGCCTGCTCGTCACTAATAGAGCCAATAAATGCAGCAGGAGAGGAGGTCAGGATCATCTTACTGTAATATGATTCCTCTTTGGCATACTTTAACTATCCTAGGAGAGAAGAGGCCTACTGTCAAAGCTGTATGTGTTTGTCTGCATTGAAGAAGCAAAGATGCCTCAAAGGTTGAGTGTGTAAGACAATAAGTCACAAATAAATATTTTATCTCAGTGGATAATATTAATATACAATGAGTGGAGGCCTCACATGGTCTGACCAACCTGCAGTTTTAATGTGGCGCCACAGAGGATGTACAGAGGTCAGCATTGTTATTGCAAGGCCAAAGGTCTGTTTGCGCACCCTGGATTGTCCACTCACCAACACTGTTGGTGCTGAAAGGATAAGTTGATCAATCGATTAACTCTAAGGAACAGTGTGTAGGAATTAGTGGCATCTAGCAATGAAGCAACCAACTGAATACAGCTCAGCCTTCCAAGCGTGTACGAGAAACTACGGTGGCCTGCAAAACACGAAAGGCCCTATCTAGAGCCAGCATTTGAGTTGTCTATTCTGGATTTCAGCCCATTTTAGAGCTGTTCTGATACCGTTACCAGTGCCTGTAATGCAGTATCTGGTATCGGTGAGTCTGTGCACCGATCCACATAATTCATTAGCCACGAAAGAGGATCTTGCTACTTCCCAGTAGTGTCCCATTTGCCCTTTTCTTTGGCTGTGACCTGCCTCTGACAAAGGGTTCAAGGCCAGGCCATACAACAATGATAACAATCATACAGGCTTAGTAGTGTACACTTGTTAGAAAATAATGATGTAAAGCACATATATCTACTTAACGCACACGTATCGGATTGGTGCTCGGTATCGGCGGATGCGTAAAGTTCAGGTATCGGGATCTTTATCAGGGACGAAAAAATGGTGTCAGAACATCTATAAAACATGGCGGTTCTACATGCAGGCCTCCATAGAGGAAGATCCACTCCCTCTGTAGATAAAAACACTCATTAGGTGAGGTCACAAAAACACAGCGACTCTTATTTTCAGGTGATTATACACTAATGAAAACCTACCTGTTAATATTATATTACATTTTTGCCAATAAATGTTACACAAACCTTAATTGGGTGCACACCAAATAGGCAGATGTACTGTAATGTTACAGTGTGTGTGTATTAATGGCTGTTGCTGTAGACCTGGTTCCAAACCACAAAAGCACAGCACTGTTATTATAAACAGGAAGCAACTAAACCTGCGGGGAAGGACTGGAACTTCTTTTGAGCTGCTGTCCGCCACATCCCTCAACATCACTCTCAGGAGTCAGTTCTCCAAAAATACAACAAACTAACTTCCCACCGCCCTAAATAAAGGTGTTCCAGGATGGGGCGATGTGTGGATTTGTGCGTCTGCTAACCGTAATGAACTATTAATACAATAAGTGTCTTCTAATAGTTTTTTTTTCTTTTGCTGCAGATGAATTAAGCACATAAACTGTTGAGCCATGCTTTTATCTTTCCATTGCAGGCTGTCATTCTACTCCGGCCACTCCTCTTTTTCCATGTACTGCATGCTGTTCCTGGCTGTAAGTATCTTCACCAGTTATATAATGATTTGATTATATCAATCAGTATTTACTGGAACCTTGTGTTCACGAACAAATCAAATTATTAAACACTGATTGGCATATCCAGTTTCTGAGCAAATATGATGGTGATATTGATCAGGAATATGTGGACATTTTGGGATTTACACTGTTTTGCCTTTTCACTGGCAGATTAGAGTATTGATACCACTCATGTTTCTGGCCATTCAATTTAAAGCTACAGACAGCAGCCAGTTAGCTTAGCTTAGCATAAAGACTTAAAAGTGTTAAGAAGTAGCACAAAAACTGAGTTACTACTTCTTGTTTTTCATGTCTGTCCAGTAAATATGATGGCGAGCAGTTGGTTAGGTTAGCTTAGCATAAAGACTGGAAGGCCTATTTAGACTTTGTACAGTTCAAACAAACAATAACATGATAATAAGTGAGCTTTAGAGGTGCTGGTAAACAGATGTTAGACAGAACAAGGCTATCTGTTTACCACTGTAAGCTAAACCGAAAAAGTGTAGGCTGTATCTCAAAATGTCGAACTATTGATTTAAATGTAAGCTTAGAACCAGTTGCATGTTAGCTTAGCATAAAGACTTGTAGCATTAAGTTTAAACACTACACGTTGTGGATTTAATTGTTGGCTTCAGGCAGAGCCAGGCTAGCTGTTTCCCTCTGTTTCCAGTCTTTATGCTATGCTAAGCTAACTCCTCCTGGCTGTAGCCTTTTATTTAACAGACAGACATAAGAGTGGCGTCGATCTTCTAACTCTCAGCAAGACTGCGAGTGGCCGGGTGTATTACCCACAATGCTCAGCTATTTATTTTATTTTGTATGCCTTTGATGACCTTTCTCGGGGACAGTCGGTATCCGTGTCGCCATTCATCTCGGAGAATTGCAGCATCCTTGACAAGAGTAGTCTGTGTTTGTTCAGGGCAGATTTTACTGTCCGGCCCTGATAAACTTTACAGGCTGCTGATTCATTCAACACCAGCAGATATATAAATAGACACAGGGACAAAGTCTGGCACCAACATAAAGATCTCTCTGCCCCTCTGCATGGTGTGAAACAGCAGCTCTGACGTTTAAACATTTACCTACACACCCTAGAGTGCTTTATTCTCGTCTCCCAACACCAATTAAACGTCAGCGCGTGCGTCAGAAATTTAAGCGGGACAGGAAGAGTTAAAGCGGCTAAGCTCGCGTGTCCTTTATTGAAACAAAAAGAACAGACACGCCCTGTTTTTAACAGAAACACACTTTTATTTATAACACAAAAACAAAATGTTTATGCCTCAATGGAACATGACATTCACCAAATTCTTACATAATAACTTACCCTGCTTCAGAGATGGTGTCATATTTATTAATCTGATTAGATTGTACGTTGTACTGATTACGTCTGTCGGTGAAATTGATTATTTCAAGGTCTGTTTGGCAAAGATCTTCTCACCTTTTTAAACACAGAGGAGGAAGTAAATATCGGAGCTTGAACTATAAAAAAATGTTTTGTTTAATTCAGGAACATTTTTGTAACTGTTTCTTGCATGATTGAGTTGTCTCTGGTGCGGGAAGTGGAAATGGAAATAAACTGAGTCATCTCCAAATCACTGCAGCTCATTTTCCTGCCGCTCATGTAGGAATGTTGCCTGCTGCCATCATCCACAAGACTACCGAACCTACTATAACGTTCCCTGTCCTTGTTGTGATCACCAGTGACACACTTTTGTTAATTTTTGACCCCAAACATAGCCGCTCCATATTTTAACAGCCCGGCCTGTGTGTTCTTTTCTCAGCTCTACCTGCAGGCTCGACTCCAGGCTGAATGGGCGAGGCTGCTGAGACCAACAATCCAGTTTTTCTTGATCGCCGCCACAGTGTTCACAGGACTTTCAAGGGTGTCAGATTATAAACATCACTGGAGCGATGTGCTGACCGGACTCCTGCAGGGGGCCCTCATGGCCATCCTGGTGGTAAGTGACAGAGATGAAAGTCACACTGTATCAGTTCGGTACAGAACTACAACCAGGTGAAGTTTAGATTAGCATGAAGAGTGGAAACGGCAAGCCCTGGGTCTGTCTATGTGAAAGAGTCTACAGGCATACTAGGTGCGGCTGTACCACCATTATTCATCACGTTGATTCAAATGTCGCCGAACTCTGATTGGTGCAGTGAAATACGCTAAGCCCCGCCCACTTCATACCAGCGAGAAAAGACAAAAATACAAAGTTTAATTAATTCAGAAATTCAGATCATTGTCTGACCTTTTGTGTGTCCATGTAGAATCTCATGGCTCATAAAAAGCTGATTTAAAAAATAAATAAAGTTCAAGTTCAAATCTTGTCTGCTACCATGGCAAAAGTCTCCCACCAGCGCTTCTAGATATCAAGAATTAACGTTAGATCTCTTTTGTTTTAATATGTTCAGTAACTGAAATCTGAAAGGCATTTTTTTGTTCCTTTAATAGAGACCCGTTTTCAGTCTTTATGCTAACTATCTCATGATGTAGCCTCATATTTAACAGACAGAAAAGATTGATACCACTCTCTTGTCTAACTCATGGAAATTAAAAAGGGCATCAAATATTCTTAAGAATCAGTAACTAAATGACTTAAGAGCACAGATCAAAATAATTCAGCCTCATTCCCATTTGTGCCTTTATTTTTTTAACTTTAAAATTCTTTCCCCATCTTGCAGGTCTTCTTCGTGTCCGACTTTTTCAAGCCCCACGTAGAACCCCATAAAGACGCTGACATCCCACACACAACCCTGCAGGAGACCCCAACAAATGGAAACCACTTCGAGAGTCCCAACTAAGCTAACTGAGAGGTGGAGGACGACGACCTCTGCTCTGTCCAAACGCACACCCAGGATTCCCAGCTCTCTAGCCCTTTTCATCTTCTGCAAATTCTCCTCCAACACCCTGCATGGATTTACAGTGTACTTGATTCTTACTTCAAGGAAGCTACTGGGTGACTGTGCATCCCAGAAGAAGCTTTTGGAAGCTACACCTCAGGCCTGTTTAGATTAAGACTTTTTTGTTTTTTTTAGGTAATTTGCTGTCTTTGTCCACCGATTCTCCATCTGGAAGGAAAGTGTTGAGACTTCCTGTCCAAGCCTTGTAGATACTGCTTAAGTGACTGAAGGGGTTAGGGGCTAGAGATTCTGTAAAGACAGGAACCAACAATTTATTCATGTATCTATCTACTGAGCCGGTGGGAAGACTTAACTGCACGCACCCACTAAAAGGGTCTGACCACTGCGAGAGAGGAGGGTTGGAAACCTGTGAATGTAACCATGCTTTGTGCTTTTCCTGACCTGGAGTCAGTCTGCTCAAGGATCTGATTTAGGATCAGTTCTTAGGTCAGCTCCAGCACCCAAAGAGATGGCGGTCTCATAGCTTTGCTGCCTTAAGTCTAGTGTTAATTTAAGGGCTAGTTATAAAAGAGGAATGTTTGCTTCTCAAGGCTACAACGGGCTGGAGGCTAAAGCTGATCCTAGACCAGAGGGTTAACACTGCTTCACATCTGGAGCTGCTGACTCCAGGTCACCGCCACTGCCGTGTTATTCTCCAACTGTCTAACCTTGTAAAGTCGAGGAGTGAAAGCTTGATCGCGTTCGGTTAGAGAGTTGAAGAGTAGACGCTCAGTTTAAGTCCCGTGTTGCCTTTTGCTGGACTGCTACTGCTGCTATCACAGCTCCCTGTGTATCTAAGAACTAATATAATATACATCAAGTGAACCGACAACAGTGTACTTTTGTATAATCTGTATGTAAAGACAATTCACCATACAGACTTTTATTGAAAAAGAAAAAAAGTTACAAATATGTACAAATATCTAAAATAAGAGGAAAAATAAAGCCATTTAGTTATTAACATGAATGAAACGTGTGTATGTCATGAGCTGTCACATAAAATTAAAGCATGACTTGTGTTGTTTACTTCTCTTCAATAACTTGTCCATATGCATCACTTTGCTCACATAAGCGAAAATAAAAGCATGAATGTCCAATGTATTCTGGCCACGTAGACGCGTTCACTCATTTATTGGATAACACGGCTCAACAGGACATTAAAGAGTTCAGGTAAGTTGTTGTGATGAAAAATTGATCAGAAGTCATCTTACAGACAAATAAATAATTTTTCCATTGAAAGCCAATTCAACAATGAGAATAAACAGAATACAAAAGAATGAAGGGCCAAGAGGTCCATTGGTGGTTAATCATAACTAAAGGTGAAAAACAGCATTTATCCTCCAGTATCGTGTTGGAAAGGTTGAAGGTCATTAAAGGTAGAGACTGGCAGCAAATACAATGTCCCTCTTGATTTTCGTTATTCCTGCAGAAAGACAAATGAGTCAGTTAAGTGCTTTATTCCTAATTGAGACAGTTGTTTCAGTAGTGCGTCAGCTAGGAAGTAAAGAGTTTACCAACAGACATTTTGCTGTTAAACTGATAAAATCATATACACACACTGACATCTATTAGGATGATGACTGTATGTATCGCATGTCTGAATCATGTCTACAATGTACTTAAAGGTTGTGGAGCAGAGATTTACATTCAGTGTAGGGTTATAAATAGGGCTGTTACTGATTATTATTTGTCAATTAGGCAATTAAATTAGACTATTAAAAGGGTCATTAAATAGTTCAAATGTCCAAAAAAAACAGCCCAAAACCCTAAAGGTATTCAGTTTAGTATCAGTTAAGAGACTTTGAATTTCTTGTCGAATGACTAGTTGACGTTTCTTACCCTCAGCAAACTTGTTCTCCAGCTCAGTGTTGCCAATGGCCTTGGCTGCAGAACACATTTGTCTCAGTACCTCCTCCAAACGCCGCATGCAGCGGATGATGCTCCCTACAGGAGACACAAATACACATTAACATGGTTTAGTGTAGATCTATTTTTTTTTAAAAACACCAGTTATGATCCAGAATGAATTCGTACTGAATGTCTCACAGCACGATAAGGACATCTGGGAGGACGTTTTTGGTCTTCGATCAAACTCAGTAGTTGTAATTTCTACATCATTTCCAAGAAGTTTCCAGGAAAGAGTTATTTGGTGCCAATTATAAGACAGAGACACTGTTTAAGTGATACTTCTCCAATTATATAATTTAAATTAACTGTGATTGTAGCCATAATAGTCTCTAGTCAGTGCACAACACATTTGTCATATGGAGTTCCGTTTCAAACACTAAATACATAAATAACATGATAGATAAATTACTATTTACTTTGATTTAAATGGAGCATTTCCCTAATAACTAGTGAGAAAATGAAACGTTTCTAGAATATTATTAGAAAATTACAGACCTGATTATACAAGTATAATCAAAGTTTAAATGAAAACACAGATGTTCAAATATAATTATTTTGGAAATGTCTCAGTACTCTGTCTCTCTCCTTCACCAACACGCAAATCTAATACTCCCTCTAGTTTTTCAGCTCTGGATTACTTTTTACAATGATTTCTAATATTTTGCAGCTGAGGTCACTGCTGGGAGTCAGAGATGGAAACTATTGGGAGAATGATGGACTTTGAATGGGGTTCAAATCTAACCACACATCATAAATCAATTAGTGAGCCTCCACGATACTGCACATGTGTAGTGAAGAAATCAGAGGGATGTGTAAAGGCTGTGTTGTACCTCGGCAGAGGTGGAAGAAGTACTCAGATTATTTACTCGAGTTAAAGCACGGAAGTATTTTCAGCAAAATGTTTCAAATGGCTCCTGTGAGTGATATATTGTTACAACTTACTTATTGGACACTGATTCGTCAGTTTGTAAGCAGCATTTTACTGTTGAACTGCTTTAAAGTTACTGGTATATTAAGCCAGTGGTTTCCAAACTCAGGTCACAAGATAAATCTGAGGGGTCATGAGATGGAGAGAGGAGAGAGAGAGGAAAAAAACTTCTAAAAAAGAAACTTATTTATTCATTTTTCTGACATTATTCAAATCTTGGATTTTTTGGGGAAAATGATTTGATACTCGACTGAGGGGCTTAGCTTCTTTGGAAAATTTTGAAAAAATTATTTACATTCAATGATCTGAGTTGAATCTTTAAGAACACATGTTTTTTCATGTTAAATTCTAATCTGAAATGAAACTAGTCACTATAGTTGTGAAGATAATGTAGTGAAGTATGATGTACAACACTGAAATGTACTGAGTGGTAGTATTGAGTAGGATTCAAATTTAAATGATCAAATACAGTATTGTACTAAAGTTCTGTACTAGAGTAAATGTAGTCAGTTACCTTTTACCATTGTACCTCAACAAAATTCTGTTAATGAAAATTATTGGATCCAATAAGCAAATAGAATAACACCTGTAATGTAACTTCCTGTTATGTCTGTTGGATATTAATATGAAAGGCCCACCTTCAAAGACGTCAGTCATCTTGCAGATTTGAGCAAACGTGGCGCCATTAGCCCAGGCGTACACCACATCCATTAGGTGAGGTTTAAACTGGTTTAGATAAGTCTCCTCGTCCACCTCCAGCTTGGCGTCTGCAGAAACCTTGGCTATGCGCTTCGCACACTCCTTAAACACAACAAGAAACAACGGCATTTCCACCAAATTCAAAGCTTTTAACGATGAGAAACTAATTCTGGATTGTTTCATGTCGTCTCACCTGCATTTGTCTTAAGGGTGCTGCAAGTTGTTCAGTCAGTTTTGGCATCTCACTGGCCTGGAGGAAAAAACGACATCATTAACACTGTGATAGCAAACGTTTGTTTTGCAGTCTGTATTTCAATCTCCAAGCAAAATATGTAGCTTATTTAAACCTACTGTCAGCACAACCCTTCCCCCGAGCAAGACAGACTCTCAGGCCTCTATCTTTCCCTTCTCTATGGTCAGATGTTAATTTACATTCAACACCATAAAATGAGCAGGAGAGAGGAAAAGAGGGTGTTGACATTCAAACATTTGATCCTACTCTTCTTTGGTAACATAACTATTCATTTTATTTCTCTAACTATTCAGTGAAAGCTACTAAAGCAGCTTTAGTTGTCAGCTGTTCTACATTAACACCTGCCTGACTGTTAACTTCTGATTCAACGTCCCAGTGTTAATAATAAAAGGCTTTTTAGGGAACGAGCGTCTGGTTTCCCCCCAAAATGTCAAACTCCGCTCTTAAGGAGTAGTTCTTATTCACTTTCTTGCCAAGAGTTAGATGAAGATTGATATCACTCTTATATCTGTTCAATATGAGGCTACAGCCAGCAGCCAGTTAGCTAAGCTTAGCAGAAAGAATAGAAACAGGGGGGAAACAGCTTGTCTGGCTCTGTCCAAAGGCGTTATGTGCAGGACTATTTTTAGGCCCTGCTAGCTGTTTTGCCCAGTTTCTGGTCTTTATGCTAAGCTAACCAGCTACTGGCTTTAGATACTGAACAGTCAGACATGAGAGCGCTATCGATCTTCATCTAACTTTCAGCCAGAAAGTGAATAATCTGATTAAAGAATAAGGAAACTGAGTGAATCTGACCATCCAAAGTCCACAACGGGGAAGAGGATGACTCCTTTCTGTATGTCAGTAGTTTAGAAAACACACACACATAATTAGATAGTTTGCTGTCACCTCAAGCCAAACTAGCAGCAGGTGCTCTTTAATGACAGGCGACAGCTGTACACACGCACACACACACACACGCACACACACACAGTGGCCCTGTAGTGGTGTGCAAACATGACAGCTAGTTGTCATCGTCCCCTCCCTCCCAGAGCTTTTGAGTAAGACGCACAAGAGAAATGACGGCAGTGGGAGCCGTGATCGAGCTTAGATCTGAGTAGGTTCTGTCATTCTGAGGACTGAGCTGATGTGGAGCCAAAGAAAAGGTTTGTTGAACCATTTGACGCTGCATTGCCTCATTGAGAGAACAGGCTTCATTAAGCAAGACAAACACACATCAACCTCAGGTTTCTGTTTTGGTTGCAGCACACTGGAAGAGGCCAAGAGCGCGATTGCAGCTAGAAATGTGTGGGAATCAACTGTTTATCTCGGTGGTCGGCAGAGGCTTAAATATCTGTTTGTATGGAGAATTAGAGGAATCAAGTGTTTGTGTGCTTTTGTTCGTACATTCTCCTGGAAGACAAAGCAGGACAGCAGGGCGGTGGCTTGTTCAACCGTCAGATCATTGAAGAGGCCGTTGAAAATCATCTCCGTCAGCAGGAGCTCGTCGCCACTGGAAGCATGAATGGTTAGATCGTATTTTATTACTTTCAAACAGGTTCTGATACATCTCTTCCTTCTTCTATTGAAACGGTGTAAGTAACATTGCAGAAATGTGGTGTGGGTGTTGGAATAAGAGGTGGCAGGTGAGAGCAGAAGTCCCCTCATGTTTCAGTCTTGGATCGACTCTCACTTCCCTGCACATAACACTAATGTTTCACATTTTTTAAGCACTGCACAGTAGATCCTGTAGGACTCATCAAATGCCATTAAATTAAAGGTTACAGTCTACAAAAGAGCGTGATTTACTCCAGTTTGAAGAGAGGGCTAGATGTCTTATTTTCTATGCTGTTATCAGGAGCTCCAACAACAAACTGAGACTTTGGAGGAAAACAGTTTATAGTAAAAGCCACAAACCTCAGCTCTAAATCCCCATTATTATTAAATCCTCATGTTTCGTTAATAAGCTTATCCACATAGCAGTTTCACCGTCAGACTGGCGGTCAGACAGAGGCCGTATGTTAATGTTATTTCCCCCCCAAAGCCTGTATGAAACAAACATTCACACAGACTACCTTCAGCTGTCAGAGGAGGCGACTGACGGATCGTGATTTACCCAAACATCTCTGCTTTTACTGTCAATGTCCACACAGTAATGGTAGTACCGAATTTATCTATAGGCTAAAGTACAGCTAGGCCAAAAAATGTAAAAATAAACCTACAAGCAGCTATATTATTTCTGTATTCATACAAACTGTGTGCAGGGGGTGTGCTGTGTCCTTTACCTGCTAATTTCACAGGCAACCCGACCTTTCACCTCGATGACATCAGAGGGACTGGCGAAGCCGAGGCGTCGCAGAACTCTCTTCCTGCACTTCAGCTTGTCCATCTGCAGGACGGTCCGAGCTTTCTTCAGCTCTCGCTTGGCCGTTCGAACGTCTGCTGCGATCTAAAAACACACACACACGAGGATTGCTATAGCGTGTGACCTTTACCTGACGTAAACTTAAGAAGGTTTCAAGAAAATATTAAAATGATTGAATGCACTGATCACTGCCAGCTGTTCTGTGTATGAGCTAATATCAAACAGTGCATTAACAGTCATAGTGATGGAGTGGAATTTGAGCTATCTGCCAACAAATGTTCATCTGCCTGCTTATCTGTCCTCAGTGATTCCACTTTAACCTTTAGCCCTCATCATTACAACACGACTCAGAAGCCAAAGAACAAACATAGGTACAAAGAGATTTCACTAACATGGTGTATTACTTTAAAATGTATATTTATATTTCGGGAACATTGTAGCCTTATTTCTTGGAACTGAAAGGGGGAACGTTCAGACTTTTATGCTTGTGTAGTATCAAAATGCACGACGACGGTGGGTGTATCAGTACTGTAAAGGCTAAAGTGGATGTCAGCTGCAGAAATGAGACTGAGGATTAGCTGCAGAAGGCTGTCCAGGGATTTGGGAGATGCTAACAAAAGGACAAGGTAATCTCTTACTCTGCCAATCAAACATAAAGTAATCCAGTTTACGCTGTACTATATAACCCTATCATTTTACAACATACACAAGACCGCAGAGGGACGCAAATGTTTATGCAAATTTTGAAACAAGTAAAAGCCAGTGCGGGTGTTTTGCATCCATCACACTCTGCAATATCAACTAAAGTTTGAAATATGAGTAAAGTTGTTCTCATAACAGGACATAACCAGGGATTTATTTTGAAAGGTACATGTTACACTTCGGCATTATATTCCTTATTTTGTTGCCAATATATTATTATTGGACTAAGTGCTATAGGTTCTAATATTGAATTCATACATTTCTCTGTAAAGGGGAATGTTCTGTGCTTTATAGCAACTGTACATGTTTTATTTCAAACAACTTTACTTATTTTTGTTCTGGACACACATTTTCTCTGCTCTGTATAATTTTGGTGTTTTTGCCATGCTGGGGCCATGATTAAATCTAAAGAGGTGTCCACTTGTCTCCAGGCCGAATATCTCAACACTGATGAACTACCATGACATTTTGTACAGATATTCGGGAGTTTGGTGATCTCCTGACTTGACCATGAGTCTGATATTTGTGGTTTTGAGTGAAATGTCTATTAACCAACAACTATTTGAAAGATTGTCTTGTGATATCTTTGGAAAGGTATTTTAAAATATTTAAGTGCAAATATTTAAATTTTTTTGTAGAATTATGTTGAGAAGTGTGTGTAAAGTGCTGTAAAGCATATTGCTAGCAAATAGCATTTAGTGACTTGTGGTGGTGGTGTTAAACGGGCATAGAGAGCAAATGTTTCTCTACAATTGTAGGTATATGGGATAATCTATGGCTTGTTTTAGGTTTAATACATATAATAATAGTAATTTATTGTGGTCACTAATTCATTTCATGAGAATTTTACTCATTTGTTTTAGAATATTAGTGTGCGCTACGTCTTCTCTTTGTTCTTGACTTTTCCCTGGAATGAGACACGCTGTGAATAACTTGTTTCTACAGTTGCAGTGCTGCTGCCTTGCAACTGCTGAAAGACAGGAAGTGTGGTTGTTGTTTACTATACATGACAATGCAGTTTAGACCCACTTACTCATATTTCTGATGAAAAAAAAAAAATGTTTCCCCTTGCTCGATGTAATCTAATGGTTTTCTCTTATCTGACCTATAACTGGGGGTGAGGCCCTGTAGGAATAATGTCCTTGCTTTCTTCCTGTATTTGTCTGTATAAGTATATATGACCAAAGCCAACCTGTCTGGCAGGAAAAGACAATGGAAGGTCACTGATTACAATCTAACAAAAAGGTAGTCAATGTAGATAAAAAGGAAGGATAAAAATAATAATATTTCAATAGTAACAAATCCCATCTGTCGTTAAATGGTTGGCTTTCAATAATGTTTAACATTTAGCAGCAATTCTATGGCTGACCTTCAACTCTCCCACAGAGTGAAATACACATTAAACTGTTTCTCACCAGAGCTTTCTTCTCACAGAGAGAATAGACAGATTCCAAGTTGGGGTCACTGTGCAGGGGGTGGGAGTACATGCGGTGCTCAAAGGCCTCCACTTTCTGAATAACTTTCTTCAGTGCAGGGTCTTTGATGCCCATGTCATCTATGGGGTCGAGCAGAGGAACGCCATCTGGGAAACGTTTCTGCACCTCCTGCAGACAAAATGTTTGGAAGGGAATACAAGAAAGAAATTATTTAGACCATGTTTTTTGTTCAGTTGAATCTGTTCTTTCTTTCAAGACGCCTGCATTTTGTACCTGTATGGACTTGAGCATGAGCTGTCTGTTGTCAAAGGGCCTCAGGTCTTTGGGGATGTAAAGGCGGACTGAACTAATGGCAGTCAGGAGATGGAGCATCACTGGGACCACCTGGACAAAAAAAGATTGGAGTTACAGTCACCCTGACTACAGGGACATGTATTCATATTTGTGTATGTAATATGCAGTCAAGTGTGTTTTTGTGTTTGCTGCACCCACCTGCATCTCTCCAGTCTCCCCTGGAGCAGCAGGTTTAGCAGCCTCAGTCGCAGCGTCTTTTACACTGTCCTTACTACAGTGAACCAAAACCTCCACCACATACAACGGCTCTGAGTCTGTGCTGGCCTAAATGAGGAAATGAACATTAGTCACAGCCAGGTGTAAATCAATTCACGTGCGTGTGAAGAGGTGACACCGACTTACCTTCACGTTAGTTTTCTTGCAAAAGTTTACAACCACTCCCCAACCGAAGTCAGCGTCTTCATTTTTGACCTGTGGGATCAAAACAAAGAGCCATTAAATGAAATGTGAAACTTCATAATTATTGTCAAGTATTGTCAACTGTAATTGTGTGAAGCTCTACCTTGACAAGTCGCCCAGGCTGCAAGAAGGGCAGGCAGTATTTGGGTTTGTGGATGAACTCTTGTATCTCTTTACCCAGTTTGGCCAGCTGCTGTCTGATTTTAAAGTAAGTGACCACACCCTCTTCATTGGGAATCTCAATGGAGTGGTACTGCTCCTCATATTTCTTAATTTCTGCACAGAAAAATCAGAAACATGAGTAAGTCTGAACGATAAGTAGGATGCAACAGGACAGGCAATGTAAATAACTGTATTTAAACAATTTTTGAAGGCTTTCTCAACCTCTTGACATTGAAAATAATTCATACCAGACACTTAATAATGAAAGACATCTTTGTGGAACCAGAGTAAACTTTCTTGTTTTGGTCTTTAGCATCTCTCATCAAACAGAATGTAGAAATACAGCCTCTGAGAAGCTTTTTGCTACTGTACACATGAACTACACACTGAAATACATGCTCATCACATATACAGGTATCATTGTAAGAGTAAAATCAGAGGTTCTCTCGAGGTTACTTTCTCCTCCAGCCTCCTGCATGCTGTAGTAAATATGGAAATATGCTTACTTTCCACAACACCAGGCAAAGCCCTGTAATGTTGGAACTGGTAGAAAGACTTTTCTAGCATGTACTCTGGGTTGATCTCCTCCACACGCAGCAGGTTGAGCACCATGTTGTAGGTCAGGTGGAAGGCACTGTTCAAAGGGTCTGCTGAGCCCTTTGAAAAAAAAAAAGACATGAAAGAAATTAATTATAATAATATACAGCTGTGGTTAATTGTGCGTTTTGATTAGGTTGTTAGCCTTTTGCTTGGAAGGGCCAAGAAGGTATGAGGTCTAAATAAATGCAGGCTGAAGTCACTTTCCCCAAATTAAAGACTGAGGAGGATTTTGTAATCACAACCTCTGAAACTTCAGAACCACAGATATGTGTTCGACAGCTTTCTCCAAGATACCCTGGGAGTTAAGCAACAGTTTTACATTAACAGAACCTTGTTCAAAAGCTATGCAGCAACATATTTATAGCAGCTATTAATGTGTCAAATCAAAGACAAAAGACCAAGAGCCTCTTGGCTTCCTTGTGACTGTGTGTTGTCAAGTTTTTGATGGAGCACCAAATGGCCTGATGATCCACAGAGAGAACAACTTACGGGCCACTTCTGACAATTTCCATTCAATCAATTAAATTAATTCTCAACAAGACAGTGGGGAAATATGTTTCATTGATGGGATAGCAGGGTTATTACTGCAGCAGAAGAACATGTAGACAGCGGTGAAGTGCTGGGAAGAGATGGGATTGATATCTAGCAGTTGCATTCTGAAAAATAAACCAAACTTGTTCGTAAAGAGCACCGGAGCAGCCATATTCTCAGTACCTTCAGTAGCTGTTTTCCCACAGCTGGACTCATCTTCTCGTCCACCATGAAAATAACGATGCCCCTGTCATCCATTCCTCTCCTCCCAGCTCGCCCAGACATCTGGATGTACTCACCTGATGTAATCTAGATCGCATGAAAACACACGCGACATTTAGAGGAAAGATATTCGTTAGTGAAGGCTTCTCTATACCTGTAATATAAGTGTAGATCTGACAAAGACTGAAAAAAGAAATAAGACTATTACACTACTGAGAAAGGACAAAAGGAAGAAACGTATAAAAGGTAGGGAGAGAATTGCATATTTGAGTGTGAATGTCGTGGAAAATAGACATTCCTGCAATCAGTGCCCAGCTAAGAATCTACAGTAGTAACAGAAATCTAAATGATGAAACTGTCTCATGAGGAAGAGACTGAAACAGTTTTTCACAAGCCTCCGAACACTATTCTCTGCGTTTGCACATGGCTCTGATTAAAGTCCACATATCTACTGGTCTTTGAGCAATAAAATGCAAAAAAAAAGGCAGATAAGATTATTTTTGTGTTGAAATGATCTGATCTTCATTTCAGGCATGCCATGAGATCAGCTCTTGATTTAAAACCGTGTGTTTCAGGAATGAGAGCTGTGTGTATTTAAATGTGTGAGTGCCTGCGTGGAGCTTTGGCACCATCAGACGCACCAGATGTTCCTGATGAACCTCT